TAATATCAACACTTAGTAAATATATATTATACATTTGATAAATAAATTATTTTAAGCATATAATTTTTTTTTTTTAAAGAAACAAGTAACATTGATCTAATAAGTCAAAGATTATAGTCCGGAAGAAAAGTTTTTACTCCCAAAGAATATGCTCAACAACATAATCATATTTTGTCGAAACTATTTCATATATATATATATATATTTTTATCTATCTCCAAGTTTTCCAATAAGAATATATAGTAGTAAAGAATTGATCAACATACCGGATAGGTTACTTCTTGTAATAGCTCTTCTATTTCTTCTTAGCAAAAGCCATGAAGCAGCCTTCTACGCAGGAGCTTTGGTTGCCGCGCCCATTTCTCTATTAAATTTTTTTCTCTTAAAATAAAAAAAAAAAAAAATCCTACAATATATATAATCCAATTGCAAAGTATACATACCATACGACATATATATATAAATATTTCAATGCTTATATATATCGTGCAATACAGATAAATCTTGCTACTCATAGAAAAAACAAAAAAATCTGTATATATACAAATTAAATAAAAATATTTTGCAACATATAAATAAAAATGAAATCCTCACTGTATAACTAAAAAAAAGTAAAATTATATATAAATTCTGCAAAATATTTATATTATTATATTCCTTTCTTCATGTTTTTGCTATGTTGCAAAATCAACAACAGGACATATGAAAACAGATAGATGGAAGCAGAGGATTGATAAAGAAAAAGATAAAAAATTATCAAATATAAAAAAGACTAGAAATTCAATACTAGAAATTTCGATGGTGATGGCGGTGGATCTGGCAATGGCAGCAGTAACAGAGAGGTTGAGAAAACAAATATATTTAATACCAGAAGATCCGATGGCCGCGGCGGTGGATCCAACGGCGGCAAAAGCAAGGTGGTCCGCGGGAATTGTTTGGCCAGAGCAAAATAATAGTTTAATGAGGTTGAGAAATAACTTACGTGTAAAATAAGTAGGTGTGCGAAAGAAGTGGAGTGAGTTAATGTGAATGTGGGTGAAAGTAACGAGAGTATGAAAAATATTAGAGTGGGAGAATTTCCTCGTAATAATATTCTATTTTTTGTATTTTGGATAAAATATTTATCTATTTTAATTTTAATTTTATTTATGGATAGATATATTTAATTTAATAAGTACATAGTATTTATTCTTCTCAAAAATATTTTATTATTAAAATGATTCTATTTTAATTGACTTTGATAGAAATATAAATGATATATATTTAAGTTCTATAAATTTCAATTAGATTAATTTATCAAATTTTATCATTAACTAATCAAATAGAATATAATTTATTTACTTTATTTTAAAATTACTTATCAACATAGGAGTATATTTTAATATAAATTAGTGTATCAAAATTTATATATATATATATATCATTTATTTTTATATTTAGAAAATAATATAAAACAATATTTATAATTAAATTTATACTGCATGTATACAAATTAAAACTAATGCTACACAAATAAAAGAAATTGATGCGAAAAAAATTGCACCAAAGTCACAACCATTATAATAAAATGACGGAGAATTAGTAGTGATTTAAATCCGTAATGGTAATAAAATAATAATAATAATAATTGACGCCACTTTTGGCACAAAATAATATAATAATAATAATAATATTAAGATGTTGAAATCCGCGCCACAACAAGTAAATTGGAAAAATTAAAAAAAGTTAAGGGTCAAAATTTTAATTAAATAAGATCAAGTACGCATACAAATCAATTTTTTTTCTCATAAAATATTTAGAGAAAATTTTTACTTTTGGACTATTTTTCTCAATTTATTTCAAGAGAATTCAAACTCTAGAAATATTTGTCGTAATTTATTTCGAGATAATTTTTACTCTCGGAATATATTTTGCAACTTGTTTTGAGACAATTGATACTCTTGGAATATTTTTGTGACTCTTTCATATTTTTCGCAATTTATTTTTGAGACAATTCAAATCTCGAAAATATATTATATGACTTATTTCGAGACAATGTATACTCTCGGAACATAATTAGTAACTCATTTTGAGATAATAAATATTCTCAGATTACTTTCGTGACTTGTTTTTGAGACAATTTATACTCCTGAGATATTTTTGCAATTTATTTCGAGACAATTCAAATTTCGGATTATATTTTGTGACTTGTTTCGAGACAATTCATACTCTCGAAATACTTTTCGAAACTTATTTCGAGACAATTTCAGCTATCAGGGGTATTTCAAGACAAATATGCAACAATACATGGTCACAAAATAACTTTAGAGATTATGGTCGAGATAAATTGTTGCAGTGCTGTCTCAAATCATGGTTGAGACACTAATTTATCTCAAAACAAGGTTCTATGATACAAGATTGTCTCGGTGCTTTTTTTCGAAACAATTTTCTAAGATAAATAGGCATTTTTGTGGTAGTGTCTTACTATTAATTGATATTTTTCAATGAAGCATATGAAAATGGTAAAAAAGTACTTTCAATTAGGATGCATGAAATACATAGTTATTCTTATTTTATATCCTATTATTCAGGATTTAATCCATATATAGCTAAAATTATGTACAAAATATTTTGTCAATATATACAATTTTCTTCAATATAGAACTCTCTTTGTCCGCAAAAATTAATCTCATTGTAGCCTGTGCGAAAAAAAAAATATATATATATTTTTAATTAAAAAGTAAAAAAAGAAAAGAAGTAGTAAGAGATATTTTTGGAAATTTAGTTAATAATTAAAAAAATGAGTGACAATGTATAATAAAAACAATGGCAATTATAATAAATAAATGGTAATAATAAAATATAATTATTTTTATTTTATTAAAATTAATAATTGAGTAGATTTAACATATAGATGAAAAAAGAGAATACATTTATGGAATGAAAATAATATTAAATATAATTCGAGGACTAAAGTAAAACTCTTGATAAATAAAATATTCACGCAATGAAATCCATGGCTTCTTCAATACATTAATATGACAAGCTCAAGTAAACCAGAGTTAACTTTGCCTCATACAAGTTACAACCCACACTACAATGTTAAATTCATTTATGTTGGTTCGAATTAAATGAATGTTCAAATAAATAGTCGAATATGCAAAACACATTTATACATCATTGAATAAGTGTATACCTTTCTTTGTTTTTTTTTTTTTTTTTTTGGTTTCAAGATTTTTTTTTTTATGTGAAATATAGAGAATTATGCAGATAATATAAAAATAATGAATATATATAATATATTAATTTTTTTTTAGAAAAATGTATAGGAAAATTTGCGTTGAAGAAACAATTATACAAACATTTAGCTCCACACACACAAACATAATTGTATCATTGACATTGTTAATCAAAAGCATACTTGTTTAACTTACTCATCACGTGTTGTTTGAAAAATATGCCCACCTGATACATGAGATATTAGACAAATATTTTGCTATATTTTAGACGGTTTTTAGATGCGAATTTTGTATATATGCTCATAATGGTGTGTTTTTGAACTTTCTACTAGACGTTGAGGAGTTGGCAAATTTTGGGCATATTGGAGAGAAAAACAGAACGCATGAAGTCCTTAAGCGTAACACGAAGCAGAAAAAAAATAAAAATTGCAAAAAGGTCCTCCGGGGTTAATTAGCAATTTTAGAATTGTTTGGTTTAAAGTGCAAAGGTGATCTTAGGATAGACTTGAAGTGACAAGATTTTCTTAATTGAAGAGGAGAAGAGAAGGGGGCTACCACGTTTTCTACCACGATCTCACCTCCAACCTATTTTTTATGAGAGAGAAGAAAAGCGAAGAAAGATACTACATACGAGAACTTTGGAGAGCAACGCAGAAGAACTTCCAGGCATCATTTTTCTTCATTTCTAGAATTGGTTTGTTGTCGATTTTCAAACTTTAAGGCATGATGAACTCCTTGATTTATTTTATATTTTTAATTGCTATGGATTGCGAGTAGTTTCATTTCTAGTGTAGGTATGAATTGATTTTCGGGATTGAAATTGTGAGACTTGGTTTCGATTAAAATTGGTGTTCATCGATGTTGGATATTTTTAATTCTTCTAATTGATGAGTTTAGAAATCTTGACTTGATTATTGCGCACGTATCAATTTAGGATTTCATAGCTATATTGGAGATTGACATACGTAATTGTGTATTTTTCCAATTGGCGTAGCAACCTAGAGAAGAACACTCTAGGGAAGAATTAAAACCAATTTTAAACAAATCCTCGTAGGAGTTTGTTAAATTGAATTGAGCCTTTCTAGTTTTTACTACTATCGAGTTAGAAAACTACGGTCGTACCTAGGATTCTTTCCCGATTAAAGAAATAGCTAACGGTCGTACCTTAGCTATCGAAAAAGTAAGGAAAGGTTGGTTGTGAATGCGTGTAGATCAACTATAACCAATTTATCTAACTAGTCGATGAATTTGACTTTTAGTCAATGATCAAATTTCATATCCCGAATGAAAAATTCATGCCTATGCTAGAGTCTAATCATCTTTGGTAATCTGCCGTGCATTTTATTTTATTTTATTTAGTTGAGCGAATTTATTTTCTCTTATTTTAGTGTGATAAATTCAACCCCCCATTATATATATAGTATAATTTTAGATAACCGAATATTCAATATTATTATTGTTCCCTGCGGAAACGACCCTACTCATCGAACTACTGCATTTTGCAAATTTTTTGTGGTGTAGGAACTGATACTTTATTTTGCAGCTTTGGCGAGGCTAGCAACACCTTTGCTTTTGATTTAGAAACTGTGCAATCTTACTTTATGTTTGAAAAAAAATTGCACAAAATTCCCCAAACTGTGCTACTGAAACAACAATTGTCCGAAAAATCCAATAAATTTAAATGTTTGAAAGATTTTATGCAATATTTTTTAAAATATAAGATAATTTTACAAAAATTCTAAACCATAAGAAAATATGATTCATATTTTTTCAAATTACGGATCGATTATAATTTTTTTTTATTTAAATAAAAACAACATGCTTTCAGTTACATATTGGTACAATGACTTCAAGATCTTTTCTTGGATTTCTCATCCTCCCAAAGTTTAATATCATTATCAACTATGGCCTTTACTTTGGCATTAAACTCGGGATATGGCTCATAGTCGAAGGCCAGTTGTAGAACCTACAAGCATTCGACGATATTTTCTCATCAAACCTTCACCAAAATGTTTCAACATATATATGTGTGCACGAATATATACATACCTCCAACAACACAAAAAATTGTGCTAATACCAATGTTTGAAAGAGGTTGTCGATGACGGAAGGTACTCGTTTCTTTGTAATATACCGAAAAATAGGACAATTAATTAGTAAAATATATTAAATGTGTCGAGAAAACACACACATGGATATATATATATATATATACAGGGGCGGACCCAAGGTGGGGGCAAGGGTGGGCTACAGCCCCCCCCCTCCCCTCCCCACCCCACTCCAATTTTTTTTTTTTTGTACTTATTTAAAATGGATAAATAAAAAAATACTAAAAAATTATATATCTTGTCTGAATAAAAAAGAATACAAAAAAAATATTTATAATACAGTGTATAACTATTATTATTATTGTAGTTCGTTATTTGTATTTATTTTCTTCAAAATATAATAATCAGAATGATAATTTTTTCGAATAACAAATAAATATTTATAAATAAAATATATTATTTTATAAATTTCAAAATTAGCTCCCCTCGGATATAATCTATGGTCCGCCACTGTGTGTGTAGATATATATATCTATAGAATTTGATTTGAATAATAACCTCAAAAATTGCATGGCTTGTTAGTTGTGCTACCAAGGATAGCAGCTGAGATCCCACAGCAACCTAGGAATAAAATGATTACAACAATAATAGCAAGTAGAAACAAATAAATTCTCAATAAGAATGTTGCATCAATATGCCATGAAACAAATTATATATAAATGTAGCATTAGGATTTGTTTGGTTGTACGTTTTCAAGCTGAGATTTGAATTTTAATTAGTAAAATTTGGAATTGAAATAACTATTAGCATAATTTGAATATGCATTGATAGATATCTTTAATGTAAATTTAATTATTAATTTAATATAAAATAATAAAAAATAAATCTTTGATTTAATATTTTAAAAGAAAAAAAATTAGTAAATATTGAAGTTAGCGTTTAAAACTTACAATCAAACACAACATAATACTCTAATTGTTTCTTATCTATGTATCCGTTTGTTTTTTACACGAAATTATAGGAATATTAGTAGCATATTGGGGTATGTTATGAATAAAGTGGAAAAGACTAAAATAACCTTATTAGTATTGTGTGATATAAAGGTAATGACATTTGTATAATATATTGTTAGTTGTAAGCGTATTTTTAATGTTACTAGAAAGTACAATTACTAAAAAAAAATATAATAATAATACTTTGTTAACCACAGAGAAAGTGTTTTTTTATGTGCTAAAATAATAATGTTAAAAGAAAAAAAAAACTAAACATTGCTTATTTTTTATAAATATTTTTATTTGTTGAATATAAATATATATTTGTTTTGACTGGTTAAAAAACAAAAATTTAATGAAAATGTCACAATCATCAATTATTTCATTTTATCAAGATAAAATATAGTAGTATAAATAGATCACATTTTCACTATAAACAATTACTTTTTACAATAGAAGAGGAGGAAAATTTTGAATATTAATATTATTTTCATACGTATTACAAATCAAATGAAAGAATATAAGATATCTATATTAGTGTTATACAATAAAAATTTAATAATATTTGTATCAATTATTATACAAATATAAAAATATTTTAATGTTGAAATATAATGACATAAAAAAACCAAATAAATACATTGTTAAGTGATCGGGGGAATACAATTGACTCTTATAATTATGGTTATAAGATGCAACACTCTGGATGTCTTAATTTTGTCTTTTGTATATATATATATATATTTTATTTCAAGTATAAAGAATCGTGTTGATAATATAGAAAGTATATTTTTTTTTTCAGATTCTAACTGAAATTATTCCCTTTTGTCATTTTTGTATACTCCATTAAAAAATATTTATTTTTTATTATAGTAAAAGTAATTACATATACTACCAAAATATTTTTACATTTTATACTGGCAAAATTGCCCATAACTCCCTTGTGGTTTCGAAACTCAGCGTAAATTCCCCCTCTACTTTAAAAATTGCATAGTATCCCTTATACTTTAAAAAACGTTGCATGAAATCCCACCACCATGAAACTTTCCTCATGTGATAAGAAGATGATTTACTATCTATATGTTATGTTTTGCATGGAATGAGGTTTTATGCAATATTTTTGAAAGTATAAGTGAGCGTCTTGCAATTTTTTAAAGTAAAATGGGGATTTATGCTGTGTTTCAAAACCACAAAGTGGTTTCATGCAATATTTTTTAAAGTATAAGGGGGTACCATGCAATTTTTAAAGTAGAGAGGAAATTTACGCTGACTTTCGAAACCACAAGGGAGTTATGAGCAATTTTGCTTTTTATATTGATTACAAACATGTCATTATACACAAGGCAAAAATATCATAACCATCTTATAACACAGTTACACTAACCATTAAAATACTATTTTCTTTTTAATTTACTATAAAAACTCAAATATATACTTTTGTCGGGGACGGATAAAGTATATTTTATATTGAATTATTAATCTTTTTTAAAATGAAAAAAATATATAATATGTTATTTTAATGTGCATATATTATATTTTTTTTAATATTAAAAAAAATCATGTCACTCTCAAATTCTTGGATGAACAAACTCTCTATGAGCACAATAGATGAGTCTGATTTCCATGTTCTCTATGTCAAACGAAAATTTTACAATGATTTTTTTTTTTTTTTTTACTGTAAGTTACATTCGAAAATTAATTATCTTTTTAACACACTTTTCACATTATACAATTTAGGTAGTTTAGTTCTTTTTTTCATTTTAAATAAATGTAGATTTCAATTTCTAATTATTAACAAAAGACAAAATTACTTGATTTGAAAAATATGTACCATTTTTCAGTATGATTTAAAATCTCCACAAAGCTCCATCGTATTTTAAGAAATTTACTGCAAAAAATTCCTTAAAAAATATTGTACTCCTCCGTCTTATAAGAAAAATATCATTTTTATTTATACCCGTCCTAAAATAAGAGTGTCGTTTTTTTAATTTAGTAGTTGTATTATCTATACCTAGCATAATAATTATCTTACAACTTATAATATATTACACAAATGACACTATTTTTATATTACACAATACAAATTTGGATATTTTTTTCTTATTTACCACAGATCAATATAATATTAGTATTAAAAAATTTATGGACAAAAAACACATGAAACTCTTCTTCCGGAAATTTATGGACAAAAACACATGAAACTCTTCTTCCGGGACCAAGAGAGTATGAAACTCTAATGTGTTTCAAAAATATTACACATAATATTAGAGGATTATGCGCAACATTTTCGAAAATATAAGTAAATCTGATGCAAATTTTTAATCATAAGCAAGAATGATACAGGCTTCCCAAACCAAATTTGGGTTGTAAATTATTTTGTCTAAATAAAATATTAAATTCAACTCTTACTTTTAACACAAAAGAAATTAAGTTAATAAACAACTAAACACTAATGCAAGTTCATTCTGAATTGAAATATATTATAACCTTGGCGGCCAACGAAAATCCGAGGCGATGGGCGAGAGCGCTGCTTCCGATCCAGCAGATTAGACAAAAGAATGCAGCCAAAGAACCTGTTGTCTTATCCAAACACAAGTAGTAGATCGAATATCCGAGAGCCAAAAAGAAGCCATAATTGAACACCAAGTAATCATTAATGGGAGAGTGGGTGATCAAAGGAGGGGTGAAGTACAGCATGAGCAAGAACATGAAGAATATCGGCCATACGAAGACGACGTGGACGAATATGTTCTTAAGGTTTCTGTGGTAGCCATGGAAGAAAGCAAACTGCTTTTCCAAATCAAACAACTCCATCTTTCCCTCTTTTTTTTTTTTTCTTTTTTTTTTTCTTTTATTTGTTTTCTTGAATGGATATGAGTTTTCTTGAACGAGGGTTTGTTCTTTAAATAGGGTTTTAAGGGTTTGGCTTGCAGATGTGGTTAACATTGTAGGACATGTGGATAACGTGGTTATTTGTTTTATGCAATGGATTTTGGTGGGAAAATGATTTTACTTGAATGGGTGGTAAACCAATGTGGGACACAATGCTCAATTGAAGATTCATTTATTAATAAATTGTTATAGGAAAATTTGACACAAAACTAATAATGCAAAAAAAATAAAATATCACAAATTTATGTGATTTCAAATTGAAATTAATGTTATTTATTCTGTATTATTTTCAACAAAAACATACTTTTTTTTTTTCATAAAACATCTCAAAATATTATTTAAATAAAATTCAAATCAATAATCAATTTCAAATCAATTTGGAACTAAAAAAAAAAAAAAAAAAAAAACTTATTCAGTACCATATTTGGTGAGATTGACTAAAATATTAAAACCTCACATTTAAAGTTTATTATATATTTTCATAGTTTTTGTCTTTATTGTATACGATGAGAATTTTGGCCCTTGAGAGTCTAATTCATTTGTCGCTCAATAATCATGTAAAAGTTGGCTCTCTTCCTAACCCAATCCATCAAATCCAGCCGAAACCCTTATCCTTTTTAACTTTAACCCAAATCCTGTTCAAATCATTTGTTAATTTTAGGGAGGAAAATAAAAAATGACATTAATAATAGCATTAAGGCCTATTTATTAACATATTACAAAATGAATAAAATCAAATAATAATGAAAAGGTTAAAATAAATATAAATATTAACATCTCTCCTCAAACTCAAGTAGGCACCGTAGAAGTTAACTTGAGTTTCTACAAAAGAAATTGAAACCAGTGTGACTTGGCGAAGACTTCTGCAATTTGATCGTCACAGGAGACTGAGCATAACTTAATGTTGCAATGAGTAACATGATGATGAACAAGATGATAATCAATCTCAATGTATTTGGTTCCCTCCTGAAAAAATCATTATGAGAAATCTAAATAGCACTGTTATTTATCCCAATGCATGGAAATGGAAGTTGACCTCGGTATTCCAAGGTTAGCAAGTAGCCAATGAAGTCACAAGAGCTTATAAGTAGTGTCAGCAAAGGTACGATATTTGGATTTAGTGCTAGAATGACAGATGATTGTTTGCTTCTTGCTACGTCAGGAGACAAGAAAATCGCCAAGAAAGAAGCATAGTCTTGTGGTTGAGCAACAATCCATAGTATCATATGTCCAATCAGCATAATAATGACCAAATAAAGTTAAGGAAGACTAATATGAGAAGTGTAATCAATGCAATATTGTTCCCTTAATATAACGAAGTATACACTGCAGAGTAGTGAGTGGACAAGGTACAGCCATGAAGTGACTAACCAGATGTACACCGTAAGAAATGTTAGGATGAGTGACTGTCATATAAATCAATTTTCTGACAAGTTGGCGATAAAGAGAAGAATCTTGAAGATAAGTCTCTTCTATTGGTCTAAGAAAACATCCAACATCGAGGGGGTGTCGGAGCTATCTTGCAATAAGTAAGCCCAACACAACACAATAAATTATAAACATATTTAGTCTAAGACATGTAATATCCAATTAGACTATAAAAAATAGCAATACCCACGAAATACCGAAGATGACCAAGACTCTTCCTATCAAAATATTGTTGGAGCTAGTTCTGTAGGTAAGATATGCCAGATTGGTCATCCCAAGTGTTAGAATATGAAATTGGAATTTTTTATTTCAATTATAAGAATACATACATATTTATAGTGATATACAAATTGTCTAAATAAGGTAAGAATCCTACAAATCTCTTAAATGAGACAATTATCCCAAATATAATATATTGCTTCTAGATATATTTTAACACACCTCCTCAAACTCAAGATATGATCGAACAAACTTTAGTTTGTCAGAAGTGACCTGAAAAGATACAGCTGAGATCATCCACGTACGAATTTGAATTCGCCAAGATTGACTAAAAGTAGTATAGTCGTGCACTGGATCAGAGTCAGAAGCAAAACTCTCAACACCGTTAGAGTTGGAAACATGACTTACTCATTCTCAACAGAACTAGAGTCAGAAACAGGACTCGCTCGCTCACAACAGAGCTAGACTCGAAAACATGACTCACTCACTCTTAATAGTGTTAGAGTCGAAAATAGGACTCTCAACGGCGTCAGAGGTGAAAGTAGAACTTTGTCAATGGAGATCGAAATAGTAGAGACGGAGACGGTATGAAAATGACCGCATGATCGTGGATAGAAGCAAATACATCTATAAAATATAAAAATATTTAAGAAATATAACGGGTCATGGATGTACCCGGAGAGAATTTGGCTCTGACACTATGTTAGAATATGAAACTGAACATGTTAGAATATAAAATTGAAATTCTCTATTTCAATCATAAGAATACGTACATATTTATAGTGATATACAAATCGTCTAAATAAGACAAGAATCCTACGAATCTCTTAAATAAAACAACTACAATAAATATAATATATTCCTTCTAAATATATGTTAACACCCCTCCTCAAACTCAAGATATTATTGAACAAACTTGAGTTGTCAGAAATGCCCGAAAAAGATATAGCCCAGATCTTCCACGAACAAACTTGAAGTTGCCATTTACTAAAGGTGTTGTAGCCTCCCCGCTGTTCTTAGGACTATTCTCTCGCTTTTGAACTGTCCACTAGATCAAAGTCAGAATCAGAACTCAATACCCTTAGAGTTGGAAACAAGACTCACTCGTTCACAACTGAACTAGAGTTGAAAACAGAACTCGCTCGCTCACAACAAAGCTAGATTCGGAAACAAGACTCACTCACTCTCAATAAAGTTAGAATCGAAAACAGGACTCTCAGCGGCGTCAGAGTTGAAAATAGAACTCTTTCAGTGGAGATCGAAATAGTAGAGACGGAGACTGCATAAAAATGATATCATGATTGTGGATAGAAGCAAATACACCAATAAAATATAAAAATATATAGGGGATATAATGGGACATGGATCTACCCTGAAAGAATTTGGCTATAATAAGAGAATTTTAGTTTGATATCCTAACATGATATCAAAGTCAAATTCTTTCCGAGTACATTTATGACCTGTTATATCCCATATATATTTTTATATTTTATTGTTGTATCTGCTTCTATTTACAGTCATGTTGTTATTTTCATGCAGTACCCGTCTCTACTACTCCATTGACAAAGTTTACTTTCGACTCTAACATTGTTGAGATTCCTATTTTCGACTCTAACTCTATTGAGAGCGAGGTAGTCATGTTTTCGACTCTAGCTCCATTGTGTGCGAGCGAATCCTGTTTCCAACTCTAACGGTGTTGAGAGTTCTGGTTTTGACTTTGATCCAGTGGACGGCTACACCACTTTCAGTCAATCTTGGCGAATTCAAATCCGCACGTGGAAGATCTCGGTTATATCTATTTCAGTCACTTCTGACAAACTCAAGTTCGTTCAATCATATCTTGAGTTTGGAGAGGGGTGTTAAAATATATTTAGAAACAATATATTATATTTATGATAGTTATCTTATTTAAGAGATTCATAGCATTCTTGCCCTATTTAAACGATTTGTATATCACTATAAATATATATATATATATTTATGATTAAAATAAAGAATTTCAATTTCATATTCTAACACCAAGTGAGGATCATATCATCAATATAGAGAAGTAAAATGATTGCTATTAGCGACTAGGATGATAATTGCCCCTAGATTGAGCCGACTGCGATGATTGAGCCTTGGGGACCTGAGTGGGTTTGCACATCGACAACATTTTTCTCTCTCAAATCATCCGTCTAAGAAGGTTCTTTGGGAGAGATTTTTTGGAGTAGAGAAAGAGAGAAAGAAAAGAAAATACAGTCCTTTGTGGCTCTGCTTCTCCATACCACGTTGAGGAGGCATTCCAAAAATGACTTCAAAAAACTTTTTTTTATAACGTTGGAACCCACAGTCGCTATTTAAAAGTGCGCACTAAGTAAACCCCCGATCAAACCTAATACCTTGCAAAGTAGACCCAACAGACAAGTCACACTAGACGAATCATGTGTGGCAGGTGACGTGTAAGCCGACTTCAAAACACTTTTTATTGTACCATTTTGTATTCTGGCTTGACAGAAACAGTCTCGAAGGGAGGAAGGCTTCGAAAATAAGACTACCGTATTTGCTCTTACAACATCCGCAATGAAGGATACTTCCCAACAAACACCTCCCACATTAGCATTTAAAATTTTTTTAAGAAAAACATTAAAATAAAATAAAAATTCTGACACAAGAAACCCACACCGCATGAAGGTTGTTTCTTGTTATTACTTGTGCGCCATACTTCTGTTTTTATTTATTTTTATACCTACTAATATTTTATTTATAATACATAATGTATATTTTTATGAAAAGTTATATTTAAAATTGGTAATATAAAATATAATTTAATACTCCCTTCGTCCCACCATAATTTATTTTTATTTTTTTCTGTCCCGTAATAATTGATATATTTTTATTTTTAATAAAAATCATTAAACCAAAATATATTTAACAAATATAAATCACTTTAATTAACTACATAACATACAACATCATAAATGATGTATGACCTACTCAAAAACCCTTTATTTTTATCTCTCTCCTCAAAAAAATAAATATTTTTTATCTATATTTAAAATTATACATCTTTTTTTAAATTTATTTATGTTAATTATAAATAAACAAAAATATTTTTTTATTTACTTGTATTATATAATATTTTATTCTCTACAAAATGATATCTATATTGCATATGTTTTAATTGCTATATAATTTTTAAATATTTAAACATATATTTTAATTTTTTTAATCATATATATTAAATTTATTTTAAAACTATAAATATTATTAATTATACAAAAAATAATATAATAATATTATAACTAATTATTATTAACTAATTAAGCATCCTCTGCTTA